AAATTACAGATCTCCCTCTATTCATAGTTTGCTGAGAGTTTTTATCATGAATGAATGTTGTATGTTATCACATGCTTTTTCTGAGTCTAGCAATGTGATCATATTTTTCTTCTTTTGCCTATTGATAGATACAATGAATGATACTATCAAATATTAAGCCAACATTACACACCTAGAATAATTCTCACTTGATCATGATATATAATTCTTTAATACATTTCTATATTTAATTTTTAATACTTTGTTGAAAATTTTTAAATTTATGTACATGAAAGATAATGGTCTATAGTTTTCTGGTCTTATGTTATCTTTGTCTGGTTTGGGAGTCAGGGTAATACTGCCCTCATAAAATAAGTTAGGAAGTGTTCCTCTTTCTTTATTTTTCTGAAGGAGATTGTATAATTCTTTTAACAATGTTTGTAAGAATTCTCCAGTGAAACCATCTGGGCATGGAAGTTTCTTTTCTTTTTTTAAATTACAAATTCAATTTTTTAAAATGATTATAGGACTATGCCGGTTGTCTGTTTTATCTCAGTTAAGTTTTGGTAGTTTGTGATTTTCAAGGAATTGGTCCATTTCTTCTAAATTGACAAATTTATGAGCATAGAGTTGTTCATAGTATTCCCTTATATCTTTCTAATGGCTGTAGGATCTGTGGTGAGATCACCTGTTTCATTTCTAATATGAATTTGTGTGTTCCCTCTTTTTATCTTTGTCTTGCTAAAGATTTATTAGTTTATTGTTCTTCTTAATCCTTGTGATGTTTTTCATTTCATTAGTTTCTCCTCTTTGTTATTTCAGTCCTTCTGCTTGCTTTGGGTTTATTTTACTCTTTTCTTAGGTTCTTGAGGTAGAAGCTTAGATTATTGATTTGAGACCTTTCCTCTGTTTTAATTTAAGCATTAGTGCTATAAATTTCTCTCAGCACTGCTCTAGCTATGTCCCTAGATTTTTGATATTTGATTTGTATTTTCATCTTCATTCAGTTCATGTATTTTTTAGTTTCTTTGAGACTTTCTTGACCCATGGAATTTTGGTCATTTGATCCATGGGTCAAGGAACTGGGCTGTTTGATTTTCACGCTTTGGGAGAACATACTCATATGATTTTTACTGCTTTAGACTTAAATTGCTCTTCTGTTCTCTGTTTACCTGGTAGACACCTGAATGATTGATTTTAGATCCTCCTTCTTTTCTAATATATGTATTTATGCTATATATTTCCCTTTAAGTATTGTTTTTGCTGCCTCCTATAATTTTTTGATGAGTTGTATTTCATTTTCATTTAGTTTAATGTATTTTTAATTTCTTTTGGGATTTCTTCTTTAACCCAAATACTATTTAGAATTGAGTTGTTTAATTTTCAAATATTTGGGGATTTTCCACTTTCTTTTTTTATTGATTTCTAGTTTAATTCCATTGTAATATGCAAATATAGTTTCTATGATTTTTGATCTTTTAATGTGTGAGTTTATGTCCCAGAATTTATAAACATTCTCATTTAAGTATTTCTACCAGTTTATGGCTCTAGCAGCTTTGCTCAGGTAAACAGAACTTAGCTGTGACTTTCTGGATTCACCTCTCTCTCCAGATTTTGAGGTTGCAGTTTGTTGTTCAGTTTTAGTTCTCTGATGGATTGGAAAAAAGTTGTTGATTTTGAGTTTGTTCAACTTGTGCTTGTTGTAAAGACAGGTGTGACAGTTTCCTGGCTTTTTGTGTGTTAAAGATAAAACCAGACATCTTTTTTATGTGATTTCAGTTCTTTCAAACTTGTTGAGGTTTGTTTAATAGACTTGGATATAGTTTATCTTGGTGAATCTTCTATGGGCATTTGAACAAAAAATGTACATTCTGCTACTGTTGAGTGGAGTGTTCTATATATGTCAGTTAGATCCTTTGGTCCATTGTGTTGTTCAGTTCTTCTATACCTTTACTGATTTTCTATCTAGTAATTTTGTCCGTTACTGAGATTAAGGTATTGAAGTTCCCAATTCTAATTGTGGATTTATCTTTCTCCTGTTAGCTCTCTTATTTTTCAACAGCTATATTGAGATAATTCACATATCATACAATTTCATCCACTTAAAGTATACAATTCAGTGTATACTTTTTAGTATGTTTACTGATATGTGCAGCCATCACCACAGTCAATTTCAGAACATTTTCTCATCCCCAAAAGAAACCCAGCACCTTTAGTTCTTACCGTCCCCCTATGCCCAGCCCTAGATTTTTCTGTCCCAGTCCTTTCCCTTGGGGGAATAGGCTTTTTTGGGAGGTGTTTTTATCTTGCCTGTTGGTGGTTCTTCAGCATCCTGTCTACAGTATATGAAGCAATAAACTAACTCAGGGAACTCACCACTGCTGTGTTGTTCCTCAGGTTCCAAGGCCCCTAGGCTGTCTGCCTTTGTTCTGCTTTTCAGAGTCTTCCTATGCCTGTTTGTTATGTTATGACCAGAGTGTTTTAGTTCTAAGAGGAAGGGCCTGGGAGGAATGTGGCTGCCCCATCTTGGCAGAACCAAAAGTCACTGCCCAAATATATTTTCCTCCAAAATCCAAAAGGTCCTCACAAGTGTGTATCTGTTTCTTCATAGTGGGCATTTCCAGATACAAATCTTCCCATTTGAAATTCCACTGATGTATCAGGTAACTGAGCTTTTGCAGGGTTTCTCTCTCACCTCTTAGCACATCTTACTAAGGCACCAAGTGTACTTGCTACTTCCAATTTGTATTCCCCTTGCAAATATATATACCTTAGAGAAGGGAAAGACCTCCTGACCCTCTTAAAGATTTTCAGGGGGTGGCTGAGCGGGGTATACCACCTTGAGTCCACTCCAACATTCCCATTTCTATAAGCCTTTGATCTCTTCCCTCTAGAGTCTGCAAGAAGAATTCTAGCATCTCTGTCTCATTGACTGTAGGCCTCCTCTGAGTCAAGGCTTTTGCTAACCATTCCAGGTGCTTGAGTAACACATTGTATCCTGAGGCCTTGGTGAAGGATCCTTGGTGGCCTGATCCAACCTTACCATCTATTCTTGTTGACTTAGAATCCATTTCCATGTATGCTCTCCAGGTTCCTACTAATACACTTTGACAAAGTCCTTAAGCTCCTTCAGTGCATACATTATTTCCTTGAGGAGTGGACCTTGCAGTGAGCTGTCTGGATCATGAGGAGATTTGTACTCTCTTTATGGCCCTAAAGGCAATGAGTGTTGATGGTAGTGGTGGCTCTTGAAAAAACAGGCCCTTACTTTTTAGGGTAGCCTCCTCAGATGAAGCCACTGAAACATTTTTATGCATGGGAATGCTAGTTTTCTTAGAAGTTGGAAAGGCCTGTTTCTGATATGAAGATGTGTGTACAGATGTTAGAGGTTCATGGTTCTGAAATTTATGCCTGTCCAAAGGCATAAATCTCAAGTCTCAAGTTCCCACTCCTTCTCAACCAGCACCTTTCCCCATGTGAAAGATTTGACATAAATATACCTTTATCTGGCATGTGATCCTGAAACCTCTACATTCAGGCTTCAGCCTTGTTCATTATACCTTCAGAGGATAAAGATTCCTTTAAGGCCACCCTAGAAACTATCTGCTATTCTGCCCATGCCTTGAGTTGACATTTCAAGGCACTGAGCTTATCTTTTTCTTTTGGAGATCTCTTTAGCACAGTTGGAAGAAGCCATCCCACTCCACAAACTTTTAATTCACTGTATGTCATAGCAACCAAGTCCCACAGCCAGTCAATCTCCCTATACCTTACCTCCACTGACATTCTGGTTAAGTGATACTTTGAGTAATCGTGGTGCCACAGCATTCAACAGATCAGCAGTGCCCCACTTCTCCCTAGCAAGGAGGCCATGCATGCACTCACCATCCCAACCCCAGAATGTCATCTTGATGGACTGTTTCCTTGGGCCACACCCCATAACACACACTGTATTAGGGCTGGAGAACAAAGTACACATTCAGCTGGGATTCTGAAGAGAAACTAATGAAGAGAGACAGTTTACTGAAGTTCAGGCAGAGTTCAGAGCACCCACAAGGATGATGAGGCCCCTAGGGACCCACAACAGTAGGAACCCTTGCCATCCTCAATCCGCCGGCCTGAGGGGCAAGGGGAGCTCAGGAGCTTGGTGAGAACCAGAGCTGTCAAAGGGGCCTGCCTCATGGGAGCTCTAGTCACAGGGGCAGAGAAGGAGTGGGATAGAAACACCTTTCTCTCTTCCTGCCCTTCATCTTCCCACAGGTGCCTCCCACTGGCCTAACCAGAAGCCAGAGATCAGGCAGCTTCAGTGGTAGAGTCTGGACGGGTCCCCTTCCTGGGCCACAGAGGAAGGCAGAGACTAGATTAAGGGGTGAGAAAATGGAAAACAGCACAGAGGGTCTTGTGAAAACAACAGTAGACTATTGGAGCTGTCCAGATGGATCAGAGGCCCCCGAGGGCTTGTGACACGCTGTGCAAAGGTGCCCAAACAGGAGCTTGAGAAGGGATTCCTCTGTTATGTGGGAAAACCTTCGAACTGTATTATTCAGATTCTGAAATTTCCTCTACGCTCAATCTATGTGAATACATCTGCAGGATAAATTCCTTAAAATTATGTTGTTTAAGCTCTGCAATATATATGTGTTCTGGCTACATTGGTGACATTTTCCACATATATATGATTTTATAATGTACTTCAAATTCCCTGATTGCACTATTGGTTGGGTCTAGTATGCAGAATTCAGAACATAATATGGAAAAGGCTTGTTTTTCCTTGGCTGCTACTTTAGAGATAGCATGTCATCTGAACACTGCTATTAAAATGAGTACACGTATGCACACACATATCTCACCTGATTCCAGTGCTCAGTTTCAAAAGGAAATTTACATTTCTATTATGCAGTTTGTTGACCATGCCTAATCCTTCCTTTAAACAAAGAAACAAGACTGTCTCCAGTGGAAAGGATCCAGAGACTTTAATCTTGAACTCACAGTGTTCTTCTCTCCCTTTTTTCCCCTTCCAGGAGGACAACTGTTAGTTTTGTGGCTTACTGCTGCTCCACCCAGTGTCTGCAGACTTTTGACCTGCTGAGCTGATAAACACTCAAGACAAGCGCCTCAGGAGCGCTGCCAGCTCGACACTGCGGCTGCCTGCACGTCACATGCGGTGTGCGGCAGGGCGGGAGAGTCCAGCCAGGCCAGAACAGGCGCTTCCACCTCGTCCTGTCAAATGTGGAGGCACTGAGGAACTCTCTGGAAATGTCACGATTGAGCTTCAGAGCTAAAATGCCTCCACCCTTCCCCCAAGTTGGAATATATCCTCCCACAAATTAAGGACCCTTTGTCTTCTGTGTTTTTCCTTTTTATGTGAGTGTGTCTTATCCATAAACTGTTTAGATTGGTGAGCCTCCCAAATCTAATTTAAAGAAGTTTCCTGTCCCTGAAGAACTATAATTTGGTATTATAGCCAAATTAATTTTTGATCACACATATCTTCAGTGATACTTCTCATCACTTTCTTTCCCCAGAGAATTATTTCTTGGGTTATTCCCCAGAGAATAACCCAAGAGGTTATTCTCCACCATTTCTCCAGGGGAAACGTGTCAGTTTTTAGAGTGTCGGCAGTCCCCTGGCCTACGTAGTCTGGAGCCGAGTTAGCCTCCCATGGAGGCTCAGCAAGGAGCCCAGACACACACCCTCTGGGAAGTTACAGCCATTTCTAAGTTTTGCAATGTGTTAAGCGACTTTGTGAGGGATTTTTAAAACAAAAATGTAGATTGTAAAGAAATACATTTGTATTTTAAAAGACTATTTACAGAAAAATGAAATTGTTTTATTTCCTGCTAAGATTTTTTTGAAGGCATATTCAAAGCTTTCCAAAATCTGATCCTTTTGTTTGTAGATTTAAACAGTTTCCATATAATGAGAAAAGGGGAGAAAATACACATCAAAATGAGACCTCCAGTGTTCTTGTTAGATGGGTTTATGGTTACATTTATACTGACTGAAGTATTTTTGTTACATGTGAAAGACAGACTCAACTACTTCTACAAGTTTATAGCAGAGTGATTCTAAGTACAGCCTTTACACATTTATTTACCTACTGCATGAGATTATCTTCATTTTGACCCTAGTTTCTTATATACTTAACATATTGTCCAGATTCCACTGAAAAAATATAGGAAAAGCAGGGTCCAAATTCAGCCTTGGACTTGCAGGGAAGTCCAGAAACAGAAAGTCTGTGAGCCTCCACCCTGCCAGAAAGAACTGCTCTTCGTGGAGGAGTCACGTATTTGCTCTTTCTTTGAAAGGATGCCATTTTAACATTGCTGTGCTGCCAGATGTTCATCTAGTTGCTATGAAGTGATTCTTTTTAAATTTTTTTTTATTTTAATAAAAAAAAGCAGGACTGATATGAGAACCAAGAAGGTTTACTTAGTAGAAAAATTATTTTCAAAAAATTTCAGACTTAATCAAAAATTTGGTTGATGGAATTTTATTATCTGTAATGCTAGGCCCTAGCAGTGCCAAAAGATCCTACATAATTACTGACAAATGTGTGATCTTTTTGCAGTCATACCACCTGCTGCCCAGAAAACACACTATCCACGTAGAATGGCGAAGGCAGAAAGTTACCATGTGTTCCCACTGTATCTGTACTGTTCTTACTTCCCCTTGTCCCTTTTCATAACTTGCTCTATTCAGCCTTAACATTTCAAAGGCTTGTAGTATAATAGGAACTGAAGATCTATATCAAAATGTAACAGTTCTTTCATCCTTTGGAATAATTGAAGTTGTAGCATAACCTCTACATGTATATAAGTTGGCAGGTGAAAAAATGTGGCATGAAACTTCACAAATGTTCTTCAGGCCTAAGTGACTGCTACCTATCACTTAAGTGACAGTAAATATATCGCTACATTTTTCTATTTCATCCTCTACAATCCTGTGTCTTGGAATGGAGCTATGAAATGTGCTAACCTGATATTCAGGATTCTCGTTGAGATAACACATTAGTTTTACTTTGTCTGAAATTTTACAAAGAAGCTTACCACCCAAACAACCTCTCTCTACTCATTATAAACTGCAGTGTGCTGAACGCCAGCAGTGGGCTGGGAAAACAACCTTTGGGCAGTCACAACTTTAATCCTTGGGTGCAGCACCTGAGTTTAATGGTGAGAAATGGAACATATGTGATTCCCTGGTGCTGTTCATTTTGGAAATTTTGTGCTGGATTCTCTGATGTCATTCTTAATCTTTTGATGTTATAAAGGAATGTTGTCAACCGGAGAAAAATTGCTACATGCTGTGTATTTGGATTGTGTCCGAAGCTTTTCAGAAAAATGAATCTAAAAATATATGTTGTTTTCTAGAGCAACAGTTTTGGTAGGTAGAAAAATACCTCACACAAGTAAGAGTAATGCAAAAAAAAAAAAAGTGAGCTACTTGGAAAGTATCATCTGTTAGGTAAGTTTCCATCAGTGAGTTCATGTATGGTTAGTGGTAACTTTTAAAGTCCAGGGTAGCTTCATAAGCAGAGGCCTTCGTATGACGTAGTACAAAGGGGACCCCATTTTGTGGATTTCCCTATCAGCATACCTAATTGTTATCATAACAGAAACCTCAATTATGTTGCGTAGATGAAATGTTACATCTTCAATTAATACATACATTGATCCCACTTTTAAAATTTCTTAAATGATCAATACGCAAAAGATCCGTGGCTGGTAGAGCATCCACTCTGAGTAATAGAAAAGAGTGATCCATTTTTTTGTTTATCTGGTCTTCCAGTTCTGGAAAAGTTAGGTGTATATTAAACAACTGTGGTCAATGGTTCACTAAAACCTTTCACATTCTGGCTTGTCTGACTAGTTTAATGAACATCTCAGTTTTGTTTCACATTGAACATTGTGAATTAAAATGTTTACAGTCAAAGAAAAAAGGATTCAACACCAGTTGGCTTATGGGGCTCTGAGTATAGTTTGTCCTAAAATATATACCTACTTTGTAATCTTTCAGAACTTGCAAACCCAGTTTTAAAAATTATTAGATAGTAAAGGTATGTTTCTCTTCCTTAATTTGAAAAGTCAGACATTTTTATCATTACTATAAAGTGCTTAACATGATACATTGCTTCAGCACAAATCAAAACATTTAGATGACTTATGAATATGGATTCCTAACTGGACCAACTCTAATGCAACCTGATATAATTATTGAGTTGTAAATTAATTTCACAGGCTCAAAAACACACTCTCTGTAAGAATCTTACTTCAAGCTTCCTTATGTACCCCTGGCCATTTTATTATGCTTTTATTCTTGTGATTTCTATTTACTCCTGCTCACTCCTAATGAGGAGCTCCTACATTTTTTTAGGAACTGGGTGAATATCTTGCCTTTTCTTCAAAAGGGATTTTTATAAAGTCTATATTCTTGAAAATAGCTCAATGTCTGTCTAAAAATCCAAATCTCCCTATTCCTACCTGGGAAGTACCTCCCTCTGTCATGAGCCAGCTAATAGATCTGAAAATGATGCAGATGTCTCTAGGAAAGGGATTGATCATAGCTGAGTGACTGTTACCCTCGGTCAAGAAAAGAGATTGCTTCACAGCAATCTCTCAAAGTAGGATGTTCTCTTTGAAGCATGACTGTATGGTCCCTTGTACTTCAAAGAAAGAAAAGTACTGGCAGCCCAGTGTGGTGGCTGGGCAGGAGGTGGAGCATTTGGAGATCATTTCTCTGTGTAATTAAGAGACTTGCAAGGATTGGCTGTGTTTTCTTCCACTCACAGGTGCAGATTATTATTACTACCTATGTTAAAGAATATCGGGTTTTGTCTAGTGATTTTTGAGTCTATAATGATCCAAGTTTTAAATACATATTTATAATGAAAGGATTTTCCGAGACTCTAAATCTGCTCTCTGAAAAATTTTGGCAACATTCATTTGGAGTATGGCCATTTTCTCAAACTCATACTGTATCCAGTTTGCTTGCATCTCACAGCAACCAAATATATTCTGATTATTTTATAGAATAATTGTGATTGAATCATGTGAATGCTCAGAAGTTTCCATGATGGCGGCTTCATTGGTTTAACCAAATTCATTTTGTCAAGAAAGAAAAGGGAGTTTTAAATATTTAAATCAAAGCCAGTGAAAATGGTGGGGCAAGGATCTCTGAAAATTCTCTCTTCCATAAAAGCAAGAAGAAAATTAGCAAAATAATGTCAGAATCAACTGTTTTCAGAGTTCAGGAAGTTATTAAAGGCTGCAACAATGCAAGGAATACTTATTCAAGAGAAATGGCTGAATCTCAGTATGAACAGTGAATTTTGTGGCATCTTTAACTTGTCTTATTTCCATACCCATCCCTTTCCATCTCTGCTTATCCTTGAAAACCAGCAGCCTGAAAGCCACTAGAGGGGGCAGAATGGGGTTGGAACTCCTTTAAAGCTTCATTCCCAGAAAATTGTCATTATTTGGACTGTCTGGCAGTTCCCTGGAAGACCTCACTTGTCAGACTGTCTTTATTTTACCAGATTGGACCTTGCCAGGTGTTAAAAGCCTTTTCCTCAAGGTCATTTGTTGAAAAAGTCTCAGAGGCAATTGATTAATTTTGTGGCTTCCCAAAGTGGTAGATAACCCTTGGAGCAAATAGTAGGCTGGCCTAAAACTTAAAGCTGTGGATTGAGATGTCCATAGGGGGTTGGAAAAGCTCTCATATTGCTGGAAATTTAGATGGTCATTCACATTCATAGAGCTTTGCACATTTTAAAGGTTATACTCCTGCTCAGGAAAGACCTAAGAACATCCAGAGCTGTCATCTTAGGTTGGCCTTGATGTACAAGCAGAAAGTGAAACCAAAGGCAGAGCTGTCACCTTCCTGGCTGAGTGTTGAAGGGGTGCCCCAACATGCACAGAACTTTGACACAGACTGGGAGACCTCCTGGTTTTAGATGTTTAGGTAAATCTCTGCCCAGTCATTAGCTGACCACTAAACCACCCAAGCAGCAACTTCAGTGTCCATGCATTACAAAGGATATAGACTACTGAATTTGTTCAGAAGAGTCTCTAAATAAGAAATAGCAAGTACATCAAACCTTGGCAGGGAGGTAAGTAAATATGATTTCCAGAGTACCACATTATTCTTTAAAATGGCCACATGATTCTTTAAAATGTCCAGTTTTCTACAAAAATTGAGACATAAAAAGTATGTTGTATACACAGTGAAAAAAAATCAATAGAAATTGCACCCAAGGAAGTATAGACATTGGACTTTTAGACAAAGGCTTTAAATCAGCTATTTAAAATGTGTCAAAGAACTAAAGAAAAATTATGTCTAAGGAAAGTATGAAAATGCCCCCACCAAATAGTAAATATTTATAAAAGAATTTACTTTAACCAAATATAAATTCTGAAGTTGAAAATAAAATGAAAAATTCACAAGAGGTGCTCAACAGATTTGAACAAGCAGAATAAAGACTCGGCAAACAAATAGAGGTCAACCGAGATTATCTCATCTGAAAAACAGAAGATAGAATGAAGAAAAATGAATAGAGCCTCAAAAACTTGTGAGACAATGTCAAGCATACCAACATATGCATAATTGGAGTCCCAGAAGGGAAAGAGAAAGAGGCAGAAAGAACATTTGAAAAAATAATAGCTGAAGATTTTGAAATTTGATTTAAAAAATTGATCTATTCACACAGGAAGCTCAGTGAGCCCTAAATAGGATAAACTCAAGAAGATCCATGCCTGGACACATAAATCACAACAAAGACGATCTTGAAAGAAAGAGAGAAGTGACTCATTTACAAAGCATCTTCACCAGGAACCATGGAGGCTAGAAAGCAGTGGGATGACATATTCAAAGTCCTGAAAGTGAATGACTACCAAGTAAGAATTCTATATTCAGAAAAACCATCCTTCAAAAATGAAGGAGAAATCAAGGGTGGTGGGGAGTAAAAAAAAGAAATCAGGGCATTCCCAGGTACACAAAAGAAATTCATTAGCAAGTCTTCCCATAAGAAATAATAAAATCTTTCAGGCTGAAATGAAAGGACAGTAGACAGTAATTAGAATCCACATGGAGAAATAGCACTGATAAATGTAACTATATAAATAAATATAACAAACAGTATGAATGCATTTTTTGTTCATAACTCCCGCATCTGATTTAAGAGGCAACTGCATAAAACAATAATTATAAATCTGTGTTGATGTGCACTAAGTGAAAAAACAATTTGTATGACAATAATAGTAAAAGGAAAGGAAGGAAAAGACATATGAACAAAAGTTTTTTATATTATTGAGATGGGTATTGGTCCAAACTATGTTGTTAAAAATTACAACGTTTAATTATAATCCTCAGAAAACCACTAATAGTTTAAGAACATATAGTAAAAGCTACAAAGAAATTAAAATGATACACTAGAAAACATCTACTAACATAAGAAGGCACAGAAATAATGGAGGAATAAAGGAACAAAAAGACACAAAAGGGCATATTACATCCCACCTTATGAATAATTATATCAAATGTAAATAGATTAAACATTCCATTTACATCAGCAGAGAGGGCAGAATGGGTAAAAATGGTCCAACTGTATGCTGACTACAGGAGAAACACTTTAGATTCAATCATCCAAATAAGTTGAAAGTAAAAAGATGAAAAAAGATATACCATGCAAACAGTAACAAATAAGGCTGGAGTAGGTACAATAATGTCATAAAATAGACTTTAAGGTAAAAATTATTGCTAGACACAGAGAAATTACATAATAAACAGGTCAATTCATCAAGAAGGCATAATTAGGCACATATATCCACCTAACAACTGGTGGAACAAGAACGTATGAAGCAAAAACTGACAAAATTGAAAAGAGAAATAGACCAACAATAACAATTGGTTACTTCAGTGCCTCACTTGCAATAATGGATAATACAACTAGAAAGAAGATCAACAAAGAAATAGAAGACTGGAACAATACTTTAAGCTGAGTAGACCTAACAGACATCTATAGAACACTCTACCCAACA